TCGTTTGCCAACAAAAAAAGCAGCACTTGAAATTAGTGGCAACTGAGGTGCGTAAAGTCAAAGTCAAACTGACCAAATCCAAATGTTCTCGGAAATAATTATTTACCAACTTATTCCCTTTTTCTGACTGTCTCTTTATTCGACGACTTTCATACCTCCTTCATCTTTTAATAAGGAACGTTTCGTCTTCATAAGAAATCTTACCAGATACCACGTATTTATTAATCAACTACTTAATATCATCTAATGCTTGTTCTTCTATAGAATTCAGCTTTGCTAATAAACTGTTGATCGGTATTTCCTGAATTTCTTGTTGTAAAACTGAAGAACAATTACTTTGCATTCGAATTATACCGACATTATTAGCCAAGAGGTGCTTCCTAATTCTAAGTTTTCAGTAACAGATCTTAAATTCAAGGATGGCCATGGAATGTCAACCTGACACAAACTGATTGCATGGTTAGAAGAATGAAAAAAAAGTTAACAGATATTAAGAATACGAAAAACACTATATTAAAGTTTTTTAGCATCTCAAACAAATCATTTTCCACTATGAACAGTGTTGACAATAGGATAATTTTATCGCAGTCACAAGATGTGGATATCCACAAGATGGTTTCTATTTTATGTAGAACAGATAAAAGTCAATAAGGAAATCATTCCTAAAGGAACTTATCTTACCACACAGTAGATACATATATATTGAAAACTACTTCAGCGTTCATCCATAACCATAGAAATAATCCGTCTCACTAGTTTTTCGACAGCTGGTTGTCTTTTCATAGTGACGAACTGTTCGCATCACTTTTTCCTAATCTATCGTTGTGATTAATGACTTGGTATTTTCGATAATACATCCTTCAATATAGAATGAGCTACATGTAAATATATTTGTATCACAAGTGGCCCGAACAAGTTCACAGTATTTCACATTAAAATGTACAGTATTACGAATCTGACTATTCATTTTTTAACGCCAAATGATTTCTTCGATGACGCGCTAACAGAGGGCGAAACTGTGATTAGTATCAAGTTAACATACGAATATACGCGTGATGTGACGTTATTGGGTCTCACCTTCTTTTTTAGCAAGTTAACATTCCCAGTCCCTCTTTATTACTACCTAGCTTCCCACGTCCTTCTAGACTCCCAAGTGGTTACCTTCCCTAGATATCAACCTCTCTCTCCCGTCTCATGGCATCATCGGCACAGAACTGTAGATTTAACTGATGGCGTCATGAAAATAGTTATCCTAGCACTGACCATTGAGTTTAGGTTGGTTTTATTTGAAATTAGATTGGATTTTGTCAATTTGTTGACTTAATATCTTCTTTTTTTTTCATAGTTTCTTTTAAAGTATTTCTAATATCCATGCTCTATTTGTAGTCTTTTATCATACTGTATGAAACATTTTTAAAGTTTTAAATGAGTGTGGAAATGTTTGGCATTGTATGTGAAAAGATAATTTCTAGAAAGGATGGAAACTTTAATAAATTCTGAATTACGGAAAAATGAAATTTCTGTCGGTCACTTCTCGATGTTTTGTTTTTACCTTTATACTTTTTCTTTTTATACTCCTTCTGCCAGTGTCAATTCTTTTCTATGCTTATTCAAATTCCCATCAGTCATCGCCAGGGCCAGGAAGAAATATCTTTGCCAGAATTTTCCCAAGCTTTAGGTGAGTGGTATGTTACACTCTTGATGGATGGATGCATTGTGTACTTCACTCTCTAACAATCAGTTCCAAGTTCCAATCTAATCAGATCAACGCTTTCATCAGTAAGAAGAGTTGCTTGTGATTGCAAAGATATCAATTTACACTTGATGAGATACTCAACAGCGTTCATAGTTCATATATTCAAATCATGATTAGCCTTCTTTACAGCCGTTGACACGGCAACGTAGGCCGTCAGAAGGTGCCATCAACTTCAGTCTTAGACTTTAAATTTATCATTACAGTCAACCAAGAGCGGTAAAATCTATTAGAAGTAGCGTTTTCTAGTGTTAGAGAAGAAGGATGGTTTTTGATTCTCACTGTAATTGTTTACAGAGATATGTCGAAATATTAATGAATTCATATTATTTATACAGATTCAATTAGATTTATCAAAGACACACATAAACTACATGAATTTATCAAATTGCCCAATCAAAATGACTGACCTCTCTTTACTTTAGTTTAAATTTACAGAATTGAACTAAAAGATGGTTACTCATTATGGCACCAGTAAAGTAAATGACTTGTATGTCTACAAATTAAGCAGATTTATTTCTGATTTTTTTTAACCTAAATAAACAATTCACTTTTTTCTTCTAGCAGGTTTCTTTTGTTCTTCTTTTTTTAATGAAACTGATCTTTAAGTTACTAATCTGAGCATCAGATTACGAAAAAAACAATTTCAGATTCATTGTAATGTGCACAAAAACAAATCATAACATGTATTTAATATTTAATGTTCACGGTATACTTGCAATTTGTCAAGTCAATTGTTCAATATCAGTGAACAGAAACAGATTTTTCTTTCATGAAAATAAAGATGAAAAAAATTGAGGGAACAAAAAAAAAACATGAGGAAAGGCCGGATTGGTGAAGCTTTAATACACATGAACTGTATTTCATACATAATACACTTCTCAATCAGAGGATTAGAGTAGTATATCTCCTCCTGCACGTGCCATCTTTTTTACATAGTTATTATGATCAAAGAGTTTCCTGAATTCTTCTCTTCGGATTAAAGTTATCTGCAAGTCTTTTATTTGAAATCACTGTTCCCCCAACATTTTTTAAACACTGAAGGAAACAATTATTTCACAGCCATAAGATTTTACGCTAACTAATACGCAATATTTATACAACAACCCTTTATTTATTAAAAACCATCTTTATAAAAGAATCCTTGAAATTCAATTTTTGGACCATACGCTATAATTTCAGTATCGTGAAAGCTCACATAACTAGATGGTATTAGCATTCAATTTCTTTAATCGATAAATCATATGCGATTTTCGTGATTATAGGTACAGAGCTTTAAGCTAGCAGTAGTTGGACCTGATCTAGTACTATATAGATATCTTAAGTTTATATTTAATCATTCTGTTAGCAAAAAGGAATGATTGCTATCTTCATGACAAAAATTCTCTCTAGCTAAACAGGATTAAGTGGTTTATGAATTGGCGGTGCAGATGAGGATAAGAACAACGGATACACTACAAGACTTTAACAGATTCAAAAACAAGAACAGAAATTTAGATGTTTTAAAAACCATTTCAGTAATTTGATGAAGATTTACAAACAAAAGGAGATGCGCTTTGAATGCGATAATGCAAAGCAGTATTTGTTATAATTATACACAGATTTATACTGACCGCGCAATTCGAAGTGAGTGTTGTTTTTATCTCTTGGAGGTATATGCATGAGTAGCCTAGCTGTTGAACCTATGCCTTTCCATTTTGTCACCTCAATTTTGCAACCGGTTTGAAATTCATCATTTTTATCGTATTTTTTAGAGAATGTTTGGTACGAAATCTACAAAATCTGTCAATAATCTGTCACAGTAATGCTATATTTCAAAAAGTAATGATTTTCAAGACATTTAAAACACAGAATTGTGCCACGTATGTCAGTCAAATGTGAATTGAACTGAACGTTATTGACTCGAAAAGGTCGTACCGTACTACGTTATACTCTAACGATGAAAGCGTTAAGGACAGTTCAGGTGGCCTAAAGTTTTCAATTTAGTATCAGATAGAAACATCTCAATTTTTCAGGATTTCAAAAATGAGTGAGAACAATAGGCTACTCATATGAACAACACACAACAACAAAAAAAAAAAAAAAAATGATTATCGACAATACAATGACAGTTCAGGAGGCTTAAAGCCCAACTTTGAAATTCAATTTTAAATTAAAAACACATATATTAATGAAAAAGCTTTTTTCCTTTCATACAACCCGTCTTCGTCAATAATATGTGCCTAGAGTAGAGAAGAAGTCAGGAAAATACTCTTGTACACGCACAGTTTCAAGCTAAACACACATGCACACAAAGCAAAGAACAAAAACAACAACCCAAGTAATGAAATTTAACTGCTTAATTCAGACAACTTTTTCCAAAAAAAAAAAAAAAATACCATTGCCTGGAAAAAAATAAAACCCGTACGGGAGAGCAAACAAATTGTGTGCTACAAAAGATCTGAGCTTTTCTTTGTTTGTAATGAGAATTCTGGAAGCATACTGCTACAAATTTAACAAATTATAATTTGAAATCTTTTCGATTACCAGTATTTCATGATCAGTCATATCACTACTTCCTGCTACATCAAGTTAGAGAAATTTGGACATAAACTATTGGTTCCAGTTAGACTTATAATTTTTGTGATAAATCGATTTTGACATACCGAAATTTGTGTTTTCGAAATATTTCTAAATTAAGCAAACTCACTTAACTATTTCTGCCTTAAATAATCACTTGCAAACACTAGTGTGCAAATGTTAACTGAAGATCAGAATTTAAAATTGGAATTTGATAGAAGTCCAACTTTCGATCTGAGTTGCAAAATGGATAAATTTTATTTCTCCATAACAGAGAATTCATTAGTCTATTCAGTTTGTTTTTCATCTAATCTATACCCAAATGCTTCCAGAACTTTTCAAAACAGCAAAGTGTATCTCGAGCCATCCGTATACCCGACCACTTGATTCTACTGCTTTAGTGGATCTAAGGAACGCAAACGTGTGTAGAACAATAGTATCGAGATGATGTAATAAAAAAATTAAACTATGCATTTAAAGTTATAAATCATACAGAGATGGAAAATGCAACAGAAATTAAAAAGTAGTAAGGATGGCATAGGAAGGGAGCAGTTTTCTGCATGGTATTTTTTAGGATTAGTTAAGAGCCAACAAAATAAGGTGACATTTAATGATCTGGGCATACAACAAAAAATTGATATAAATTAAAACAGAACTAGGTCCCTCCGGGCTTTACAAACATTTTGCGTTAGGACAAAACTTCTAATTCAAATATTTTTACAAAGTCGAAAAATCGAAAGTATGGTCCAGGTCGGAAAGAGTTTTGTTGAGGATGATTGTACAGACAAATAATTGGATTAAGTAGAGTGATAATGCTGTCGTAGTTTGAATAACTGCAAGGAGAAATAGAAAGACATTGGTCGCTGGACGATTACTTTTAAAATGGAAATTACTCATTTTAAAAAGACTCGGATTCTTTCAAAGAAGAGAGCAATTAGAAAGTTTTTCATCGGCAAAAAATAATATAAAGACAATGATTTTAATGGAAATAAAGCGTCTTCCTCGAGCTTACTCCTTTTCAACACATACACTCATACTCATTAAGCAAGAAATGAGAGAGAAAAGTCTAATTTAGTTTATTAGAACCAAAAACTATCGCTGCAATCTCTTTCATTGTTTGCAGAAATCGAATACCAATTATACTAAAAAATATGATTTCTATCGAGATTTCCATCAACCTGGCAGAAGATTCTCTAACAAATCTTTCGTCATTAGTAACAGTTTTTTTTTTTTTTTTTCGGTGCTTCCAAATCATTCCTTTGACAATTCAGTCATTAACGAATCACATAAACTGGCCTACTTAAAGCAAACCGTCAATTCATCCTGGGTAACAATGACCATCTACCAAATGTCTAAATCACATCTAGAAAGAGATTAAGATAACTAAATACAATCACACCTCAGAGAGGTCCAAATGTGGAAGTAGTAGCTTTAATTAAGCTACTTCCAGTGAAAATTTGTTTCTCTTGAAATTCACAATATTTTATCTCAACTTTAAACTTTGATATATTGAAAATCGACTACAAGTGGATGAAATTATCCAGCTGTTATAACGATGAACCTTACAACCTTTCATTCTTACAAAATTTACTTGAAGAATGCGCAAAGCAAGTCATTATTCTTTGAGGAATGTTTTTCGTCTACACACAAAAGTTGTAGTAGGAGGAGGAGGAGTAGTAATAGTAGCAGTAGTAGTGATAGTAGTAGTGGTAACTAAAGAGGATGGCATACTGATGATGATAATGGTGATGGTCGTTCCTAATTTAAAACCCGCGCAATGAACTTTTTTCTACTTGTAATTGAGCATCGTATTCTGGAACTGCTGGTCCTGAACAGCGGATGTTGAGGATGTTTGCTGCGTGTAGCATTGGATTTTCTCCAGCGGTGTTATCATATTGAAACTGAAAACAAGTAAACAGAAGTTAGGCTCTTGATAATTCACAAGTTTGTACAATCTTTAAAAATTAGTACTTCTCTACTTTTGGTAATGTAAGTCATAGCTAACCCTGCCGGCCTAGGTGCTTCTGACTTGAATGCCGTGTTGTCGAAAGGGAAATAGGATCTGTTTGTGCTTAATGTCCTGCCAAAAGCAGCCATGTTAAGACGAAACGCGGAGGGGTCGTTGACCATCATCTGATTTGCAGTGGCTGTTGAAGCAGCAGCACTTGGATAGCTACATGCTGCTGCCGCTGCACTAGTAACAGAACTGGTCGCAACTACTGCGGCCGACTGATTGGCGGCCGAAAGCACCGAAGCTGGTATTCCTGCATTGAAATGACCTGCAATTAAAGTCTCAAAATTTGTAAGCTTAGCTTTTTATAAACAAAATTTGTTGGTATTTGAAAAATTAAGATTAAAAAAAAATTCTAATTTATATAAAAATTGTCTAATGAATCTTCTCTGTAATCGTAGTGAAAGTGTCTTTAACGACTGTTCTTTTCTTATATTATATATAAGAAAGAGAATGAACTAACTTTTGAGTCTTTCTATGGGTCAAATTAAAATTAAACTAAGCTTATGAAACACTTTTAGTTTAAATGAATATGCAAGACAATTTCTAGAAAGGATGGAAACTTCGATTAATTCTGAATTAGCTAGGAAAAAATGTCAAAATGAAACTCTAAAAATAATATATATATAACGGTGTTACGAAATACCATTAGAATTTTTTGGAATTCTCGACAAAACATCAATTACCAATAGTAAAACATGCTGAGGCAACAAAAAGTAAAATGTTTTTAATATTCTCTTCGCACTTGTTTAAAAAATGAAAATCGCCTGAAATTTATCCCAGCCATTACAATCATTCATTTAATAATTATTCATGATCTTCGAGACTTTTAATAAAAAAAGATAAAGAAACAAACTAAAGTCTATCTGTGGTTGTGTCACGGAAGCCAGATCCGAAATGCCATGTGCTGCAGCTGCCATCGTAGGCGCTGATGTTGCTGCAACTGCTTCATTTCTCCATGCATTCAAACCTTCCAAGCCTTCCATAAAATTGCTTCTGTAACGGCTGTGAAATAGAGCTTTCAAAATTGTCAAAAATGAGGAATACCGAATTAAGTACTATTCATCATGACCTTGAAATAAGAACAACATGTCATGTTGGTCAGTCATAAAGCAGGACAAATCATATTTAAATCTGCCAGATAAAACCACTACTCAATAAAACGTTCTTTTTTGAAATGTATGCATTCACACTATTGTATTCCGCAAAAAAATCAGAATGAAGGCAAAAAAAGCATACATGTTTCTCCTGTCAGCATGCTTGGTCATATGTTTTGCAAGATAGGTTTGCTGCGTGTAGGATTTGCCGCAATATGGGCAGATGTGTACCTGAAATGTTTTATGAATTCAGAATAGTTGAAATGACGTATTTTACGCGAAAAGAATGGTTTCGTAATTTTTTATTTTCTTTCCGACAAATAAAGAAGACGTTATTAGTTACCACACCTATAGTTACAAATTAACTTCATTTATGCATTCTAAAGAGAAAAAAAAAAGATAATGAAGACAGTAAAGACAAAAAAAATTTTTGAAAATTTGAGTTAATGGTAGCATCTTTGCCTCTCTTTCAACAAAAAATGAAATTTAATAATTGCTGCTAAGAAATAATCCAATACATTTTTTAATAATAACTGGTGGCAAATAAAATGTTACCAATTCTAAAACGTGATCTGTTGGAACAATTCCTCCCTCTACGTTCTCTCAAGGAGGGTTGAATTCAGGAAGCAATCAGAAAAGGGTAGAAGTGGAAGTAGAAAACGAAAGTTAAATATTATTAACTAATGGTTCTAAACTGTTGAATGAGAAAATCCTAACAGTTACAAACCGGATTTGGATAATAACCGGTGAATCAAGACATTTATTTATTCGTCAAAGAAAACGATCCATTTCTGTTATGGTTTTCTTTGAAAAAATAACACTTTATAACTGACCCATGTAAAATACCTTTAAGTGCTTCGATTCCTTGTGCTTCGGTATATGTTCCAATAGTGCCTGTTCATCCGTGAAGCATTTGTAACAGCTGAAAAAGTATTTCACTTATACTTCCTTCGACTATCATCACTTTATCCTTCTTTGTCTGATTGTCGAAATACGTTGGAATTAATTTGTAAGCTTTAACCAAGTTCAGTCATGTTTAAGTATAGCAATTCTTATTACAGTTATTAATTATTGGCAACTAAAGATTGAAAACGACTTTGAATCAGTGAACTAATTGTAGATGCTATGATCAATAAACTACTTTAGACTCCAATTAGCTGTGGGAATGATTCACTTGATTACGAATATTTAAAAGTGTCTTATTTTCGAGAAAAGTACCTATTGCATTTAAATGGTTTGTCGGACTGATGACATCTTGAATGTGACTGCAAATTTGATAGCTGACTAAACGCCTTTTCGCAGCCTTGAAATTTGCATTTGTAGGGTTTTTCACCAGTATGCGTTCTGATGTGTTGTTGCAAATGTGATAGTTGTGTGAACTGAAATTTGTAAGTTAAAATATATGAAAATAGCTCATCTGAATTATTTTCAGAAATTTGTAAGCGAAATGCTCATCCGAATTATTTGTCATACCTCCCCATCTCCGGCATTCATATTTTTCTGCCTTCTTGCATTATATTTTTGCCTTCTCACAATTCTTCGAAAGGAATTTTAACGAAAAGTAAAACTGAATTATGCAGAATAGCAGAAGATAGAAAAAGACTCGAACCTTTTTACCGCAATACTGACAGGGTCCAAAGGGCTTTATACCAAGATGTATCCTCATGTGCTGCGACAGGTACGAGCTATTCGCGAAAGATTTGATGCAATGCGTACATTTGTATGGCTTCGCTTCTCTCATGTGCATTTGACTGTGTACCTGGTGCACTTCCGGTTTGGTATCGAAACCCTGAAACAGACCGTTTCCTGATCCTTATAACATTACCGTGATAGGTGTCATGATGACGGGTATCACATAATCATAATTAACCTATTAACGAGAAGTAAACACAACTAAATCAAGTTTAATAATAAAACTTAAAGAGAATGTAAACTTATCCTTATTTTTGGTATGTTTAATGTAAAACTACTGATTGTGAGTATGCTATATTAAAATCTTTACAAAAAATAAACATACAATGGTGCCCTTATATTAATAAAATGTAATTATTTCAAGTATTTCCACTTAAAAAATTCGGATGAGCAAGATTTATAAAAAAGTTATATATTACGTATAAACAATCGAGTTCTGAGGATTATAGCTATTCATAATTAATTTCAAGTTAGTAGAAGCTGAGTAAAATATGATAAATTTATCTTCTCATATTTCAATATTTGATACAATCTTCTGGCAGAACTAAATTAGTAATAACAGAAACCACATCTAAGGTATGTTTTGCTTTCAAAGATATCACTTTTAAAATGAAATGTTCTAAAAGTTATATACAAAAAAACGTGACTTTACGCAAAACACTCAGAAGCATTCACATATAAGCTAATAATCATTTAATTAAAGGTGGAGAAGCACGAAGGAAACATAACTTTGTTAGAAGAAAATTTATGAATGAAAGTTGAAAATCTTAACACTAACAATTTTTGGCAATTTCCAAAAATATGGTGAATAATTAGTAGAAATTCAAAAATAAGTCTGACATTGAAGTAATCTTAAAAAAGAAATTTATGTCTTGTTTTACTACTTCAATTTTTATTCTGCTTTCTCTCTTCCAATAGCATTGCTTGTCAGTTAACGTTCTGTGATACTCACTTTAAATAGAAAACTTTGGGATTTTGAGATTTAAATAAAAAACTTTAAATAGAAAATGATGTTCGAATTTCGGTGTGACAACTGTTTGAAATAATTATGAATGAATAATTTTAAATTAATACATTAATATAAAGGCAATCAAAGAAAACATTTAATACCAGAATTATTTATGCTTGTGATGACAGAAGAGTCAAAAGACAATGTATGACTATTTTCAGGGGTTTTTTTTCTGATTAACTAATTTCTACTGTTATTTAAAGTTTAAATTAATATCAATGTCCATTTCATTTGCACTGAACGCAGACTCAAATGGTTATCACCATAAAATGAAGACGTGTTTTCCTCGGATCATTAATCACATCTTTAAATTCGCAGCTTATTTGATAAAGTCGATAATCTTTTAAGCTTAGTTGCTTATGAGAATAATTTCCGCAAATGTTGAAGTCTCGTGGTTGATCCCTTATGATATTATAATGATCTGGGAATAATTTGGTCATGATAACTAAATACTACATCTAAACGCGAAACTAAAAGTCTCAATTCAGGATGGTATGTTCTCGGAAAAGAAAAAATAATTATGAAAAATAATGCTTCACAGCTATTTGAAACAATGGAATTAAAAATAAATTAGAAGACAAAGTTTTTTCCAAGTTCACTTTCTAAGTTTTAATTTCATCTGCCAGGGAAACATTGGAATTGTTTTGGGATCTTAGCTCAAGCTTGGCAAGCAAAAAATTGTTTGTATCAAAAATGTCATTAAATTATGTTTTGCCGGTATCGTTTATCGTTTTCATCCTGTTAAGCAAGAAAGCAAAAACTTTAATGAAGTTGCAGGCGATATTAATTCAGGTTTTTTAATGATGTATTGTAAGATTACTTCTTTCGGAGAGACAGTCGACCGGAAACAGTACAATTGATATGATTACATGTGATGTTATATAGAAGGACGAAATCGTGCAATAGCCGACAGAAAGCCATAATTTTCTCTCTTAGAAAAAAGTTTTATAACGACCAAATAAAGACATCTCTTCCTGCATTGTCAATATTTTACCCTTTCCCTGAGCAATAATATTATTAGCACTATTAACGTTCTATAATTATCTTTTACTCATTTAAAAATTTAAATAATTGCTAGAAACCATAGCTGCGTAGTAATCTTATTCTTCTGCTTTCCTATTTCATATGTGGATTGTCAAGATCAGAAACTGGTGCTTTTTTTTATATCGCAATGCATTCTTCTTTCAATAGAGATATGTTTCATTGATAACATATATCATCATTTCAGTACTTCGATTGATGTTTCTTTTATTTGTTCTAATGTTTGGCTGACATATAAATCATCTTTTAGAAAAATTCAGGTGGTTATTTTCTAGCAATGCCAACTTTTGTTATAAATTTTTTGAATTTCGTTGCGTTATTAAATGCTCAACATAAATTCTTCCTTCAGATTAAATTAAAACATTGGAGATAGCTAGAAATGCAATTTTTGCTGGAAATTAAGAGAAGACAATAATGGTAAGACTGGATTCATTTTTTATTTTCGCACAAAATTAAATGAAGAGTAAAGGCTTGTCGAGAAAAAGAAGATCATTACCCATTTTTATCCGTAAACTACCAGCCAGTTTTTCCTGGTAATTCCAATTAATTAATGTAGGGATGAAATACATGTTGATTTAAATCATAGTTCAATGTTCTTATCTCCGTATTACTGCGTCCCAGAATTTGCCAACCGTGAAAGCAACATAAAGCAATTTTTGATCAACCAAAAACGTATGGATAAAAAGATAGAATAGGAAAATGATATAATAGATGTCAGAGTTTGCAATGAAAGTTCTAAATAGTACCTTACAGTATTTCCTGGTGACACTGGTAAGCCTATCAAAGCATTAATGACATAGCAAATAAGGCTTCGTTACTCGCTTATTATTGGATTGCTTAAGTGTAAAAGTCCATTTATGCTTTTCTATTTTCAACACTTAAAATTTCATGGATTCAATGGCAACAATTAACTGCGCCAAAGATAATTTGCATAAGTGATTTGTATTGATCAGCCAAAATATTATTCATGAATGGAAAGACAATTCTGTACTTAGCATTGGTTGACATCCGCTTGTCCCAGGTCTGTTGTGTTTTTTCTTAACTCTCTCTCACATCATAGTATTTCTCTTTTGTTGCTTCTCAAAGCATATATTTCACAGTTCTCAGCAATACCTTTCGCTGTTCTACTGAAATTGATTCTCTCTCTCCCTTAACAGTATTGCAAGTGAAATTACCTCAAAACTTCAACAAATCAATCAATACTTCCCCATTCCACAACTATATTACAATACTTTGTATATGTGATATCTCATCGTCAGGTTTGACGCCCTGAATATGGCCCATCCCTCTCCCAAGGCTACACTCATCTAACATGTACGTCGTTTATATGTGTGTGTGTGTGTGTGTGTGTGTGTATATGTGTGTATGTATGTATGTGTGTATGTGTATGTATGTATGTATGTATGTATGTATGTATGTATGTATGTATGTATGTATGTGTATGTATGTATGTATGTATGTATGTATGTATGTATGTATGTAAGTATGTAAGTGTGTGTTTTCGTTCATTTCGTTGCTTCTTTAATTTTCTGATGAACATGAGTTATACTAATTAAGATAATACACAAACACATACATGCATACATACGTAGGCACATATACACACAATACAAAGACTTGTTTCACGGTATCGTAGGAACCAATCACAACGTGCTTCGAGAATGAAAGGAGGCGGACCTGTTCTTGGCAAGGGAAAGATGTTTGATTGTGTAGGTCGGGAATTGAGGAATGGGATTCCTAATAGTTCTAATGATGTGAGATAGCCCGGGAAGGAAACGGTATAATGTGGGCTGGGTCTGAGTATTCGGAATGAAAAGATTGAAATCTGAATATCAGATCACTTAATATGATACTTTACTTCACCCCTTCTTTCCCTGCTCCGTTTTATTCTTCAGAGAAGTAAACAGTTTTTCTGTTCAATTATCTTCAGTCATTTAAAATAATAAATTCAATTCCATTCCTCTTGTTAAAGCAAACGAAAAATAAGACTATCTCGAAATTTAAGCTTAGCTTATAGGGCAGGGCCACTATTTTACGGACACTGATTCTATATGACAGTGAAAAAATGAAGCCTTTCAAATCTCATAAGTAACTCGGTCGATGAATAGAGAAATGAATACTCTTCACTGACAAATAAACATCTGTTACTCTAACAGATGTTTACAATTTTCGCATGGTGATTATCAAAGATTCGATAGGAACTGATGAACAGGAAAGCTGAAAGAAGACTAATCATCAGAAATAAAAATGCGCAAGAGGATCATATGAAAGACTACCTGCATCCTGTCTCAGTTTAATACCATACTCGTAGTATAGATAATCGCACAAATGCGTTTTCCAAAATTTGCATTGTATTTGATATCTGAATAGAACGAGAGATATGTGAAAATCTGTCGTATCATTGAAAGTTGTTTTCGGCGATTAAGAAGAATTCAGTGAAGATTGTGCTAACTGATTTTTGAATAAAGGACTAATGAAGAAATGTTTCTGAGACGTTCCTTTCCTGAAATCCTACATGTGAACTTATTTGCTTAATGAATAGGACAAGAACAGATGATTATTGTGCAGCCGTATACGGTACAAAATGTTACGTTTTTTTTTAACTCATGGATAACAATCTGTATTTTTCCAGTACAATTCTCATAAAATTCCATTAACTGGAAAACAGCAATCGGTTCAGAGTTTACTCACTTCTTAAATTAAGGAAGAAAGCCCGAAGAAAACATATTATCCTGTTTAATGGAGTTTAAACTATAAGTGCAGTTTGGATGAAATGAAAAGGACGAAAATTCAGTTTACTTAGTTAGCTTAGATAATCCCTCAGCAATAAATTTATTCCTATTATAATATATGATAATTGCAGACTCCTTGAGGTAATTAAAAAATAGGATGTGGTCATAAAAATATATTCAAAGATGTCAGGAAAATAAATATAGAAAAATAACCTTATTGTTTAGCTGTTATATTGTATTTCATCCTAACAGTCTCAGAAAAAAAATTAATTAAAAGAACTTAGGACCTCCTTTCAAGAAGCAGTTTAACAAACAAGCGATCAGAGCATCCATTTCGAAAGAGTTCAGCTTGTAGCATTCAGCGGAATAGATTATTTTGAACTTTTAATCTTTTCTTAAACATATAAAATTTCCCAAACGTCATGTGATAAATCTGCGACCATTGTATTTCATCCTTTTTTTCCATCAAATAGAATTTACCAAATCCGAAACGAATTAAAAATATAAGTAATGACTAACATTCACCTTCCTTTAGTTTGAAATTATTTACCGACTTATGCAGTTAAAATATTTCGCTGTTCAAAAAATGAACGAGTAGATAAAAACTCTTCAAAAATCAGCAGTACTTTTATTTCTATCTTCTTGATTGTTTGCTGATTTCGATTTCATACTTGTGAAACAACCCTCAAGAAAGATGACCTAGAGAGTTTAGTAACACAGAGGAGGCGTACTGTTTAAGGTTACTTATAGATGTTATAAATACAACAGACATTCAAAAAATCTCAACAAGATCAAAGATAAATATGAATACGCTTCACATAGACAAAACATCCTTTGGAAAGGAAGAAAATCAACATGTGCAACAAAAATTCCAACAGATTTTTCCTTAACTCCCCAGTTTATTAATACACTCTCAAAAAGATAACTCGATCAATTTTATTCCTTATCCAGCTTTCAGTACTTTTAATTACTAGTGACCGCTGTCAAAAACCGTCTACTCAAACATAGATGGATTCAGAAAGGAAATAGATACAAAAAGGAACCCATTTACAACATGGTATTTCAAATTTTCACTTTCAAAATGCAATATTTTTAAAGTCGGTTTGATGGTTTCTTTATCCATTGAATCTTTTACTCTGCTTAACCATCATTTCTCGATAAATTTTCTTTGATCCTCGGAAACAATTCAAGATTTAATATTTTATAACACTAAATAAACCAAACCCGTTACTTTTCTCATTATTACTTTCAGAATGACACAAGCATAGAAGCGATGCTTATTGCCGAAAACTAATATAGACATCCTATATTTTTAAAAAAATAGAAAATTTTAACTAATGTAGTATTTGAAGAGCATGTCTTCACCACACCTCAACTGAACACTGTTCAAAATCTTGACTTTCTGCTAATAATATTAATGGAACGTAATTGGCGAGAAGAGTCAAGATTTTCAATACTTCTCTACAGAGGAAAACAAATTGAGAAATGCAAAAATTCTTAAAATAAATCTAAAATTTTTGAGAAAACTGCAGCCTCTGAGTAATCTTCATGTTTATTATTTGAATAATGTGAAAAAGCGTGAGAAAATTGTTGATAGTGTAGAATAAAATGAATGATGAGAGGAAGTGAGAATATGAAGAAGCGTGGAGCGGCCAGAAGGGTATTTC